TCTGGTGTACCCATGGTTGGCCCAAACATTGAACTTAGAATGGCTGCCGTTTGAAAAGCTAGCCGAGCGTGTCTGCGCGTGAAAACAGAACTCCGCCATTTTCTCTACCGACGAAACAGCGCCCTATACGACGCTCCAGGTGTCAACGGCACTAGGCGCACCACGGGCCACGTCATGTATGCTCATATCAATATAACCAACGGACGAAACAAATCCGAGGGCCGGGTGATTTCTAAATTAAAATTTTGTTAACCCCGCACGAAGCAAGTTAAGCTGTCGATTGCTTCCGCCACTTCCCCGTTGCAGCCGTAACTCGCGTGCTTGTGCTGCCATGCCTGGTTTGGCTTGACTTGGCCTAGTCATTTGGCGGCTTAATAGACTTGGCTGTTGCGCGCTAAGAAAATTAATACTGATGATTGTTGTGGGGTGTGCGCTCATTATGCAAGTAAGTTAAGTAAATAGTTTATTTGGAAAAGCTAGAAATATATTAAATATGTACCGTCTAGTTTTTGCCATTGAAGTCCTCTACCCGTGCTATTTTAGTGCGGGTAGCAAGGGATCCTTTGAAAAAGCACTTTACAGGTTCTATTTTGCAGAATCAAAAACTGCAGAAGTAACTTCAGAGTACCATACCATACTTGGAACCTGTACTTTTTTAATATATATAAGTGATGTCAATAAGAACGGCACGTCATATATGAGCATTTTCTCAAATGACTGCGTATTGTATAGTAACATGACTAGTAAAAATGCCAACTAAGTACTTCAGAAGAATCTAGACAACATAGGTGTATTTTGTGAAAAATGTGGGATGAAACTAAATCTAGAAAAGTCTGTATCCATGATATTCTTGACAATGAACACCAACTAATGCTTCTTATATTGTAAACAGCGTTAGTCTTAAACCGTGTTTGAATTCAAGTATTTAGTCATCTACTTCACGTCATCGTTGTGTTGGCACTGACATGTGGACTGCACTATTGCAAAAGCTAGCAGATATTTAGGGTTTATAACCAGGAAACTCTAGATTCTTTCCTCCGGACATTCGAGCACTCCTCTACAAGCCAAACGTGCGTCCTATGATAGATAATGCCTGCACTCTATGGGATCCTTTAACTAACATTGACAAATAGAAAGTATAAAGAAAGTGCAAAAACCAGCAGTTCTGGATGTTTTAGAAAACCTAAAATGGAGAACAGGTTTTAGCGTTATGCGCTCCAACAAGAGCTAAAAAGCAATACGCTCGAGCAACGCAGAGTGAAGTTCCGCTTAAAGCTATCCTATTGCATGTATCACTCGCTATCTGTTATTCCACATGAAACGTATCTTTTCGCCGCCCTATGTCTCCGCTCCTGTGGATCACATCCACAAAGCTCGTGAGTACAGATGTAAGATCGTAGCATTCAGTAGCTCTTTCTTTCCAGAAACAGTTGGTCAATGGAATCAATTCTTTCCAATTATGAATTCTTTCTGCCTTAGAAGCAGATACTTCATTTCATTGATAAACATTTTAAAATGTAAATCGATGCCACAAAAGATGACTGTGATATATTTTGCTTTGCTTGCGTTGGCTCCGTATGTCGTGCAGAAATCTTTTCTTTTTTTTATGCCCGATGTAAATTTCATTTTCTTTTTATTTGGCTTAGACAATTTGTTGTATATTGTTTGCATTTTTTGTCTTTCTCTTGTGCGAATATTTTTGCTTTTATCTGCTGTGAAATTTCTTTGTGTGTGTAACCCCGCACTGTATGTCGGAAGGCGCTGTGGATATTGAACGAAAAAATATTTCCGTGCTGTCCACCGGTGGCGGAGATAATGGCTGCCCGTGGGGACTACTCCCTGGTGTGTCTTTCGCGCATTTTTGAACTTGCTTAAAATACTGGAGTTCACGCTAAATACGTGCTTTGATGATTTTGAAATTTCTCAAAATTAGGGGGTTTCAGCTCTCATTGTGACATGGGCGCATGCTCGGTATTTTACTATATCCTTAAACTTACGTGCACTCTGTAGAATAACTAGGAAACAGTGGCTAACCGTTAGGCAAACTCCACGAAAAAGGTAGAATGTCTCTGTCGTTTCTCATATATATTGCACATCTGTGGCTATTATCGGCTAAGAGGGAACCTGTCTTGTATAATAGATAGTCAATGAAACACAAATGTGTTCAAATCTGGTTAGAAAACTTGAAAAATGACCCCCTCAATAAGAAAATGTTCATCCGAAAAAAAAAATAAAACTCAAACCAAAAGCTCGAAAACAAACAGTTCTTAACGTTTCGGCGTCGACTTGACTCCTTCTTCAGGGGTGACTAAAATTTAATGGGACAGCGAGAGCTCCGACATTTTCTTTCTCTTCTACCGAGTTGATGTTTTGTTAACGTGACGCAGGCCATGGATGTGAACAGATAGTACGGCCCCGAGGGATCTGTTAATGTTCCCCGGTGTGTTCTGGATATGCCGCGAGGCCAAGAACAGGTGTTTTTGGATATGTGGCTCCGTGTCTATCACGTGCGCGTTCCCGAAGTCGACCCGATGATCAAGTACCTCACATTGTTCCGGGACGGCGCTACGCTCGCGATCGAAATTGCGGCCATTGTTCTGGAGCTGGTGCTTGCATTTCGGAAAACATTTAGTTTCACCGATGTAGGCGGCCGGGCACTCCGCACATGTTATCTTATAGACCACGCCTTGTGCTTTCTCTTTTGGGAGGCGCTCCTTCGGCCTTGGCATGAGCCGTCCTAATGATGACAGTGGCTTGGGCGCCACTTGGATCCTTTCTTTTCGGAGCACGCGCGCCAGTGTCTCGCCCGTCCCTTTTACATAGTGGACGCTGATGCGCGCGATGGAGCGGGGCTGTGTGTCACCCGGCGATCCACGGTTACTGCGCGTGCAACACAGTTGACGGGATAGGATGGAACGCGTTGAACAAAACATCTGGTATAGCGGTTTCTTTGGAGGTCAGCAAGGATGAACTTTTTCTCCTTTCTTCTATCCTTTTCCGACGAGCCGATGGTCATTGCTCTAGACAATAGAGTAGAGACCACTGACGCCTTGTGACTTGCTGGGTGGTTTGAGTCAAAAATCAAGGTAGCGCCCGGCGTGCGTTGGCTTCTTGTAGACCGTGAATTTCAGCTTGTCTCCTTGCCTTCTCACCAGAGCATCGAGGAACGGAAACACTCCCTCTCTCTCGTATTCTACAGCGAACTGGAGGGCCGGTTCTATGAAGTTTAGAAGTGCCAAGAAGTGGTTTACCTCTAATTTCTTCACGATGCAAAAACAATCATCTACATAGCGCATTAACTCTTTTGGCCTGTTGGTGGAAGTGCTTAGCGCCTTCTGTTCAACTACTTCCATAGTAAGGTTTGCCGTCGTGAGAGCAATAGAGGCGCCCATTGCCTTTCTGCTGACTTGTTTGAAGAGCTCACCCTTGAAACTGAACAATGTACTGCCAGGGCAGAACTCGAGAAGGCAGCATAGTTCATTCACACTGAGGCTGACTCTTGAGCCCAATGTTTCGTCTTTTTCGAGGACCTCTCCAGCTGCAGCAACTGTAAGGGAACTGGCACGCTGGTAAAGTGTGCAACAACGTCGAAAGACACCATCGTGTCATCAATGCTGAGTCTCACTTACGAGGCACGTTCCACGAATTGCCGGTGTTCAGCACATGGGTCGACGTATTTCCAACTAGGGGAGTTATAATCCGGTGTACGCAATTCCATAACGCTCGGAGCAGTGAGGTCGTAAAGTCTACGATAGGTGGCAAGGGGCCGTTAGCTTTGTGGGTCTTGGGCAGTCCGTAGGAGCTTGGCGCAGAGCCATCCCTGCACATTAGATGCAGGTAAACGACTTTCGACTATGGGTATTGGTTGAAAATGTCCGGAATCATCTTGTTCATGTTCCGTTGAACTTGGGATGTTGAATATTTCTTGAGCGTTTCATCGGCCGGACTGTCGAGAAGATCCCGTGCCTTCTGCTCGTACCCCTCCCGGTCCAGGACGGTGGTCGATCTTCCTTTATCTGCCGGCAGTAGCACAATCTCTGTATCTTCGCGGAGCTTTCGAAACGCAGCAGTTTCATCGCGAGATAGATTGTGGCGTTGCCTTAGCGGAGGTTTCGGAAGGATGCTTATTGCTGTAGGTCGTACACCTTTCCGGGCGCTAGGGTCTAGGTGCGCAATGCCGTCCTCCACCGCGGCAACCATTTTTGGCAGTGGGGGTCGGGTCGTGGTCATGTTAAAGCCGTGGCCTTTTTGCCAATACTTTAATCTAGCAGGGGAGAGTTGTCTTGATGACAGGTTCGTGACAAAACTGGCGGTGTCAGCGCCTCCTTTTTCTGCGTCATTTTTCTCAGCTTAGGAAACTTCTCTTCTTTAGATGCCCGTCATTTTTCTCTAGTAGCAGAGGCGATGCTGGAAGTGAACGACTGCAACGACGGGAACACACCGGGGATGTGATGTCCGAGCTGCTGATGCGTGAAGTACATGTATAGTTTTTCACTGAAGGAACCCTTTACTCAAGTCATTTTTTTTTCGTTAAATTTTCATACACAATATTCACCACCGTCAGGCACATTTGGGATAAATCCCAGCGCGATTTGTTAAGAAACCGATATTTGCGGTTCTTTGAAAGAGTCAGTGGTCCCCTTGACTAACGTGGAATTTTATAACTCATAACATTTATTTCGTTTGTGTGGGTGCAACAGTGTCCAATGTCCCCTTTACTGATATTGAGCGCCGTCCCCATCACTTGCATATCTGGTCTCTTTTAATGGTTTATTATTTTGTCAAGTCAATCTCCAAGACGACACTCTCAGCGCCTTGGAAGGAAACAATAACAAAATACCCACGACAAACTGGTAGCTAAAAATTCAATTAATACATTGAAATATTTACTTCGCTAGAGTAGGCGAGCGCCTAATAAAATAAGTCCCCAAAATGAATATATACATTTATTTCCTCAGAAAACTAGTCATTTTCGCACGAACACCGACAAAATGTTTTCGTCACTGTTTTCCTCCTCGTCTTGGGCAAACTGAGAAGGTGGCACCTATAAAATAAGAAGTAAGGCGTATATTATAACAAGCATGACACTCCGCAATCTTAAAAAAGTGTAGAAAGAGTGTCCGTCTTGTACAAATTTATTGCTAAGAAAGTAAGAGGAAACATGACGAAGAAAATAATAAAATCAAGAATCAGGGACAAAGGCTCGTTCCTGGTAGTGGTGAGATTAATTTTTTTCTCTTATGCGTGCTTTTTGGCAATGGATAGTACAACCTATAAACTTTGGAAGTATCTATAAGCAAAAATCAAATATGAGAGGTCGATAATTGACGTTTAAAAGCAGCAACTTATTTATATTCGTGATTATGCTTCCAATAACGCCATATGTATAATGTGGGTTAATATCTGCAGCGTTACAAACCGGATTCACATAATATCAGGGTTGCATATCCTAGCTATCCCACCATCAGAAATATAAATCCCTATTGAAATACTTTTAAAGCCAGAATAACTCCACTATTGCGTATGTTCATTTGAGTTCTCAGACCATAAGTGCTTCCTGAGCCAATTGTCTTGCCTTTTTACCTTTGCGTGTAGAGACGATGGGAGATTGTATAACCCACTATTAGTGTCAGGTTTGGGGTGGTACAATGCAATTCAGTTATATAAATATACTGAATTAACTTTTAAGCTTTACAATTTTATTTTAAAAAGAAACGTGAAATCTTTAATAATACAGTCTGCTCAGGTGTGTTATAACGTCCAGGACAAGATATTGGAAGCTGATTGTCAGGATAAATCAGGTACTTAAAATGAGAGTGCCAACACAGGCGAGCGGGTGAAAAATCCTAATTATGAAATAAAATCTTGATACAAGGAAACAAAAAGGGGCATTCACACCACCGCCTCAAAACCAGCACAGCATACATACAGCTGTCATTTAGTTCCGCAACAGTCCTCTTCTTTGTCAACATCCATACAAATTATACACATTCAACTGCAGGAACATTCCCTACACAGAGCGCCTAGAGCACACAAACTGAGTCTTCTTCCTTGTGCTCGTTTTTCTTTTTTTCTTTCTTGTCGTATTCCAATTAATACAAGTCCTAACGGCTGGGAGATCGGTGACCAAGTGGTCTAGCGCACACAAGCTCGATGCATGTGGTGCAAAAGCTCTCGCTGCAGAACCCAGGCATCCAGGGTTTGACCCCCACCCCTGTCCGTTTCGATCTGGATGAGCATCGTACCGGCGTGTGGTCCTTATTACTACCGCACAATTCACGCTAAAGACTCCAGACTAGCCGTTGTACCGCACTGGCTAAATTGCTTATATACAGTGGGTAACAATGTTGCCAGGTTCTGGCAGACTAAACTCCTGCTGTATAAACAACTAACGACTAATTTCTTTTTTGTCCTAACGGTGGCACACACAAACCCCCGGGAAACCATGAGTATTGAACACAGGTCTAAAGGCACTTTTCATATGTCAATGGCTCACTAAAAAAAAAGAAAAAAACATTAGGAAATTGTCCGAGTCACTACCTACTTGGAATTAAACAGACAAAATGATTTAGTGTCCTCGTCCAAAGTCAAATAGGGCATGTTTTTTTTACAATTTCTGGCTCTCATGATCCACATTATCTCCTAATCACCATTCTAAAGTGATATTTTTCTTTGCCATGCATAGGTCGTCTGCTTCCAATCTCGGTATCAATTTTCACATTCACTCAAGTGTTTTAGGATTTCAGAACTATTAAAAGAAGAATTAACCGCTGTTTTGTGTTTCATTATTCCGTCGTTCAGTCAACGGCCAGTTTGAACCACCTACAAGAACCCACAGCCCACTGGTATTTCCTATACTATGCCGTAACACGAGTGGTTGACGCATCTTTGTGTTTTTTTTTTTGTAACCTTATTTACGTTCCCCAAAAGGAGTTAGCCTACTTAATGTTAAATCAATTTTTAAAAAGAATTCGTACACTATGACTTTCTTCCAATGCCTGCAGATTGTGTGAAACATCATGAAAGAAGGCCACTGTAATGAACCGACCACTTCGGCCAAATCTCTTCACCGTGGTGATCCGTTCGCTGTCAGCTCAGAGAGCCAGACGACCCACTTCCGGAATGACTCCTACCCTTCTTGGGGCCTGCAGATGGGGACGTTCGTCCTTACCCATTCCCAGCCTGGAAGACCACCGAGTCAGCCGCCCACCCAGCCTTCCCTAATCCCTTAAACCCTGTCCACGGCCGCTCCTTCGTGCTCGGGTTCGGACCAAGAAGTCGGACAAGGTCGGCCGCTCCTTCGTGCTCGGACCCAGAAGCCGGACATACTACCTCTGAGATTTTCCTCCCCCCCCCCCCCCCCCCCCACCTCTGTCGTGCGTGTGGTCGGGGGCTGGGTTTGTGCGTGAGAGGAAAGAGCCTACGGAGCCGACTTGAGGGAAGTGCGAGCCTGTAAAAGAAGTGAACTTCTGCGAGAGGGGTCTTCCTGCTTTGGTACACGACTTGTACAAATGTAAATTAAATGTCTGTCGAAAAGACACCCGGCTTCCGAGACCCATCTTCCCGATGTTCCTTGTCGGCGCCTGGCTCCGGCGGAGCCCGTCAACGAGGACTACCCTGGGTTCGCTACAGCACGCATACCAACTTATCAGGCTTCATCCTAGGCTCTGTGGGTTTGTTTAAACTAACCAGAACATGTTGCAACACACATAATCGAACGCTTAAATTATACCCTGAGGCACCCAACCTCGACATTTGAAAGGAGATGCTTTCTTGATCGTAGTGGGAGGAGGACTTGTTTAAGGCACTTTTTAGGAGAGACCATACTACACTTATTTTTACTGCTTTTGGATGGCAACTATCGAATGACAACATCGGTTTGTGCGCAACTTTTCATAGCTCCAACAGAGTTCGAAGGTTTAAAAAGTTTTTAAAATCAGAAACTGAAAACACTCAGGTGTGCATACATTAGTGGTGAAGGCAAGCTCTGGGGCTTGCTCCTTTATAAAGGATACACAACCGACCACATCAAGTCCTTAAAATACACAAATAAAATTTTAAAAAAAAGTCTACAAAACGCTTGATTATTAGAGAAATGGGCAACAAGGACTGTACTTTTAAATCCACTACACGGTCGAAAGCAGCCAAATAAATTTCAGAAAGTAACGGTGCCAAGGAGGACCCAATACATACACACATCTTGTTTTTGTACAAAACTCGTGCCATCAACCTTCAACAACAAGAAGAAAAAAAGAGACAACAAGAAAGGCTCTGGTTATGTGCTCGAGGCTTTCTCGGTATAGTAAATTTTCCTGCTGTTGAATATCTATAATTTGGATGGAGGCTGAAAAAGAAGACTACTTGACTGTTGGAGAAGTAAATGACAGTTGTATGCTGTGCTCGTTTTGAGACGGTGGGGTGTATGCCGCTTTTTGTTTCCTTGTCTCAAGGTTTTAGTTATTTAAATACATCGGAATATTAACAAATATTTCTTAACAAACGTTTAAATGAAGAAAGATTCGCAAGCAATTATAATTAGAAACTTTCTGAATGTCATCGAGAACCACTAAACAAGCAACGTTTGAAAGATTTGAGGCGCCCGGGGGTGCGCTGGTGGTGCGAAAGTGCGGATAATAAAAGACGGAAAATCCACACTGACGCGTGTTCGCAATTGCACACTTGCTTCCGTTGAGTGAATGGTAACTTTCGCGCACCACCGAGCTTCCCGCGCGCTCATAATCTTTCGAAATTTTACTATTTAGTGTTTTTGATGGAGCTCAGAATGTGTCTAATGGGATCCATATGTTTCTCATCGATAATAAAAAGATAATTAACAAATCAAAGTTAATTATTTGACGAATCGTAACAACCAGCCCTTATGGTATGTCCATCAGGTCATACAACTCACCTGCGAAGATCACATTAGTGTAGCTTTTACAGGTTTAAAATAAACACTCTGTAATCCATAAAAACACAACCTGCATACCTAGAGACTCAGGAAAGTTCCGTAAATCAAATTCCTTTTTGCTTCAAATTTAGGTTGTGTACGAAACAATAGGTTGTTTTGGGGAGAATTATTCAAGTACATCTGATTGTGCTAGAAGTGAGGTTAATATTTTTCGAATATTAAATATTTGTATTTTCTGTTGAAAAGATCGTGGGTTCTAATAGGAGAAACAATTTTATTCAATTTTACAATAGCAAACAATGCGGTGATACACTTTTGTCTCTACCAACAAAAATGATCATTATTCGCCCCCAATCGCGATAAAATATACAAGGTTTCCTAAAAAAGTTTGGTAAATAGTAATGCAAATATTTTTGATTATAAATCAAAATATCTCGAAAGTCTCATTGCAACGTTCACACCTTATGCTAACATGTATCGACACAGCGGGAACTTTTGCTTGTGTCATTTAAAATGTTAAAAGCGCAACGTGGAACACGGACGAAACAAGGAACAGGTTCGAAAGTCACACGCTCCGTTTACAACAAGATTCATTGAAACAAAAATCCCTAAAGCCAGGCTGTCGTTCACATACCGATAACAGGCCTTAAACCATAATATATTGGCAGTCTTATATGAAGCCATCTAAATAAAACAGTCAGTTATTCAGCAGAAAAATCGACGGCATGCCCACACACTTTTTAACCGATCAATAAAGCTTCTACGATCTCTCTATATCTCCGTCTTTTCATTCGCTTTATTAACAAACTTCCTTGAATATAAAAGAGGTTCGCAGCTGCAAAGCTAACAATGTTTCTCGAGAGGCCCCCAAATTGTTGCGTACAGCGAGCCTGCGCTCTCATCCTATAATTGAAGCAACGTTCCGTCTGTCCGATATAAACACGGCCACAACTGAAAGGAATTTCGTAGGCCACCTTTTCAACACAGTTAGTGTACTCCGTAACGTTTTTTTGGAACACCGTACATGCTTCTTCTTGACAAGGCCAAACAGGTCTTCGAAAGTTTGCAAGAGGCTGAAATTAGAACATTAACTTTGTGCCTGGTACGTGGCTACTCTTTAAATTGTGCGAAACCTTGTGCAAATAGGGCACCTACACTCCCTACACTCGCATCCTTATTCTTTAAGGTTTTGCCACTATGACGTTTAAGTTCTAGGAGTTTTTCACAAACGTTAGACACTTGGTAAGACGGGTAACCAGATAAATTTAATCTCTCAACTTGAAGGTCAAAGCTGTTTGACAGCTTTATGCTGGCAGCTCTGAGTGATAGCTGCGTGTAGGCACGTGGACGCAATCTGTGTTTTGACTAAGCTTAAGTGAGGACTGCTGAAAGAAAGATTTTTTCTTGAACGTAGATTGTAGCTCCAACTAACCTGATCATTAAAAAAAAAAGAACTGCCAATTCAGAAACTGCATACAATTATCTGTTTGCAATCCCCATGTGAATTTTAGCCCACCTGAGAGTGAAGTAAACAAGTGATCTGTGTTTTGACAGTAATTTCGCAACTAATATATCTACGATTTCCCAAAATAACAAGGATGTCGTCCGTATTTGTTTGGATTGAATGTGCAGAAAGCGTTTTGACATATGGATGACCTCCTTATACTTTGGGGAGGATGTAAAGAAATTATACGCGGTTAAAGTAAACGAACAATGTGAGAAAACTAGAAGACTACAGGAGACAGGGAAGACGCTGAACTTTCAGCTCAATACTTCATTCAGAAGAGAAGAATGCTCTTTCGTCTTCTCTTCTGGATGAAATATTAAGTTGTGCGTTGAGTGTCTTTCCTGTCTAGTGTATTCTTTTACAGTTTCCTCACGTTGTTCGCTAACTTTAACCATCTATAATACTCACCAACTAGCACATGTCACCACCCTTCTACAGAGATTAGTTTTGATATTACTGTCGCAAAAATAGGTCAATTGTTACGAAGTACACAAAATATGTTACAAAGGTGGTCAACGAAATTCCCTTCAGTTGTGGCCGTATTTAACTCTGACAAACGGGACGTTGTTTTAATTATAGGGCGAGGGAGCACACGCTCGCTGTACATAACTATTCCGGGGGCATCTCTCAGAGCATAGTGAGCGTTGCGGTTGCGAACCGCTCTTAGATTCGACAAAGTTTGTAAAAAAAGAGAATGACAGGAACGAGAGAAAAAAAATTGATGAAGTTTTCTTTATCAAGAACCCGGGCGAAATGTATGTGAGCTTGCCACCAATTTTTCTGTTGGATGAGAAAATCACCTTTTTAGACGGCTCCATATGAGGCTCCCTCCCGATCTGTTGCTGGTTTATGGCCTGTTATGGGTATGTCAAATGGCAGTCTGGCTAAGCGAACGTTTTTTTCAGTATATTTTGTAGTAAGTGGCGCCTGTCCTTGTCGAACGTGATCCTTGTTTCGTCCGTGTTTCATTTCGCGCTTTTTACTTTTTAAATTGTATGAACCAACTTGACCCAACCATTTTTCTATGCTGGTCTGTTGCTGTTTGTTACATTTGAACGGGAGCTGTAGGTGTGAGTCACTAGAAAGCCGAACAATAGCAGTGAAGCGTTGATGCGATTAAGCCAGAATTTCTAGCCCAATGAAAGGCTGTAGTATTGAGAAGCGTCCGCCATATTCGCCTAATTTGACTGCAGTCAACTACTTTGCTTCTTTGAAGACACATTTTGGTGAAGGGCGAGAAATGTTTCAATTTTCAATAAATACAGACGCGCGTTATATTCCAGCTGCAGAAGATACAGCAGCAAGGTCTTCTTTAAAGGATTTAGAGTCTAAATAAACATTACAAAACGTGCGGTGCATCCAGGAGAGATTTGTTTTAAGGGCAGTAAAGTGATTTTTGCAGCACTCACCGAAAGTTCTTTGCACCCTTTTATGCAAGTCTTGAGTTAAAGTGTTACAGATTTTACATATTATAACTAAAAAACTACTGCTCCGTTTGTTTTTTGAAAATATTTTATTGTAGCAGTTTTAAATTAATTAAAACTTTAGAGGTTTTAAGAAGCATAAGCATAATTATACTTGTAGAGTCTCAATTATATAGTTCCACGGAGGGTATTTTCAACAACGTTTGCAGTAATGGGTATACTGTACCTTTGCATTTCGTTCTACAGGCCTTATGACTGTGAAATGAATTTCCTCCTAAATCTCCACTGAACACATAATGCCTGAAGCATTTGCATTTTCGTTCCCCTTGGTCGAAGTAGTATATTTCATAGCCATATGGAACCGGTCTTGGGGGCCTCTTGGGGGGTGGTAAATTGCAGACGTCTGGTCGATTCTGAGTTCTGCGATCTGAAATTTATTACATAATGCGAATTCGAAAGTTTTGTAGTCAAACTAATAAATGACAAAAATTTGACTTGGCAAGCAATTACAGCTATGAACATCTTAAATTGATTTGAATTTCCATTAAAATAATCTGAACAAGCATAAAACGAAATAGCAAACACAAACGTGTATGAGTTTGATTACTACCACAACTATGCGTTTATTAATTTCGAACAGCTGCAACAGGTATGGTACGCACTGTTGAATGCTGAATATTCTGATATTGATAAATGGTGCTTAAAATATCTGCCTCATTTGTCGCGGTAGGTTTCCAATGAATGAGTGAACAACACTTTGGGCTATGGAAGAACTTTCATCTCGACACACACACACACACACACACACACACATATATATATATATATATATATACACACATATATATCCCACCTGATGAAGAGCGGTCCCCGGTCGAAACCTCGTCATAAACTTCGCATTAGTAACTACGACAGTACGCATTTTTGACTTGTTAACTTTTCCCGGTTCATTGTTTTTATATTTACCTTACTTCACCTATATATATATATATTGTGAGGGTGAATATATATGTGTATTAAATGAGAGGATGTACAAATACAATGTTGTGCGACCGTTGTCCATATCTGTGGTGGACTAGTTCACGCTCGCTGGTGTGACGCAGTGAGACGGAACACGAAGACAATGCTATTGGATACGATAAATATGATTAAAGATTTAAGACATTATATACAGATTATTACAAAAACCGCACAAACGAATGTCACTGACAGTATGGTATAAGAGTGTTAGAGGCCTTGCCGGGGAGCGATGCGACAGTGTTCGAAGCCTGGTGAGCGTTGCAGGGATGGCTTGGTTGGATGTCTCAGCCCGTCTGTTGACGTGTGGCTAGGGGGCGGCGTCTTGACGCCGCCCCTAGCCACACGTATATGTCGGGGTGAATTGAAGCAATTATAGAACAATAAAAATATTGCGAATGTACATAGGGGATGGATGTATACCCTGAGCGCGAAAGATAAATTTCTGCATTATTCCTAGTCGTTAGAAATGCTACACTTACTTAATTTTAAGTTGTTGATTTTGTGTTATTGTTTGGCGCGTGCTGACAAAACGATCTTGGTGAACTAATCGACAGAATAACATCCGGTGAGCTGAAGTGTAACGTAACAGAGGTTGTTATGTCGCGTAGATTAAGCCATGCTGATTTATTGTCCGAAATTCTGTAGGAATAGCAGAGTATAATGAGTGCCTATTTTATCACTATTTATCAACCTTCAAACATTTAGTGTCAAACGAAAAAAAAATGAAAACAAATTAAGAATCTATTTTGAAATGTAGATGGTCGCTGACATTATATAGTGCCAATTTCATTTAAAATCGTCTGGGAAGAGGGGTCATGACTCAAACTTTATGGAGCGAAACTATATATATGCTGGTAATCTTCACTAGTACGAAACTAGAAAACGTCTCTGTGCAAAATTTTAGCTCTTGCTCTTTTTTAACTTTTGAATGGCATTAGGCAAATTTTAGGAATTGTGCAACTGTCACAGGTATTTTATTTGGGTGTTTCGCCTCGCTCAGATGACTTCCCCACTGCAAGAAAACGTTTTACATGACTTCTTAAATTACAGTAGAATTTCAATGTGGTCATAAAATGTGTTTCTGTTTTTATTTTTATCAGCCAGAAATTCAGAACCTAGCTCCTTTTACGAAAATTTATCTGTTTGGATAATGATAACTATTGTTTCAGTAAATATTAGGACATCAATTATATATCAAATGAATTCCGAAACTATAATACCCATTTGAATAATACAATACAATGACAGAAAAAACTGTCATATCATCGAGAAACGTCATTGAAAGCGGAATGAAACCCTAAAAATGCAAATTTAAGTATCAAAATTAAAAAAAGATATATTCTTTGTTTTATTATTAAAGTACTTGAAATGCTCTAAACTATCTAATAAATATAAGAAGTAATATATGTTTCGGACCTATAAATCTTTACATTAGAAATTACGATATATTTCAACTTCTATTCAAAGATGAAGAGGTTGATCGTCGTTATTTGTATGTTTATTAGTTAATTATTTTGACATCTTGTTAGAGCATATGTCGATTTCGATTTAACACATAATTAAAAAAGTAAAATTGATATGTATATGGGATGTCACGTTTAATACATGAGAGTTTTCTTCAGATAACCAAAAACTATAAAATTAACATTTTTTGGTGATGTGAAGAAAACATTTCTATTTTCAACATATCTAATATGCAGAACTGCATTAATTTATATAACAATGTGCTTTTCTTTAAAGATATACTTTAAAAATTTAAAAGTCACAACGAAATTTGATACTCCTTCCAAAATATTTATGAAGAATTATGAAGCCTTTGGAGGAAGAAAATATGCCGACTGCCCATAGCACAAAAGTTCAAATTTTTTAACAGTCAGATCTCCGCGCGCGCTAAGGGTTGTGAGACTTTAGGCCAGATTAAGCCATGCTCATATTCGTTTATTTCATTTTAGAAAAAGATAGCTTGCATGCATCATGGGGAAGTGAAGATTATTGCATAAAATATATAGTAACGCTAGTTCACGAGAACGCTTAATGTGACCAACAAGTGCGATTAAAGCGGTCTACTACGACAATACCCTCCTTGCTTAGCTATTTGCTTCACATGACACTGAGAGACTAGCCCTTGTTTTAAACTTTCGTTCATAAGTGGCATGACCGAATGTCCTTGATAAAACTTACAGGCTTTTGTACTTTTTCCTTGGTTTCGTCAAGGTAAGGGTCGACACGTGCTGTGATGGCATGCGGGGAGTGCCAGGTGCGTGTCGCTGTGTGAGGAGACCACTCCAGCATCAAGCCCCTCGCACAACTTCAGGCCAACAGAGCCTAAAACAATCGGACGTTCTGATGACTTCGTTCCTGTATTCGGCCTCGAAGTGCCGGTAATTATTCGTCCGAATTCTACACCAGCCCCCTGCTGGCACGCAAAAAAGAAAATTCGTACGCCACCTGCGACGAAAACTCTAAAAAGGACGGTCCCTCAATTTTATGTTTAAGCACTTTGCTAAGCATGAAGAGTGAAGCTATAACTTATTTGAAGGCCGCGTCTTCAACTGTCTGTAGGTAGCGCAACTGGTTTTCCAAGATGGCGGTTATTGTGAGAATCGGAGGTGCGTGTTCGTATACCAGTTGCCGAGCCCATTCTATAGCAAGTGACAGGTCAAGAAGGTAGCGGCAAATGCCCCTCAAAGGGATTCATATATCCCTCCGCCACCTTCGTATCCAAAAGCGTCCCACCTTTTCCGTGACGCTGTGGCCGACGCGGAAGAGGGTTTCGCCTTCCCGTGAATATTTGCTTTATCTTTCGACTTTGACATAGCGTTGTGGAAACCACGAGAGGGAGATTAGACTTTTTCCACTCCGATGGAAACAAATACGACTTCGGGAAGTTAAGTTCCCCCTCCGATGGATACAATGGCCACTTTCTTAAAAAGCGGGGATCGGAGACATGTTGGGTATCACTCTGTATCCATTATCTATTCAGTGAAGCGTAACGAGGGGGTTTCCGGTGAATTATTCTTTCGACTGCGCATGGATTTGAAACGGGTGAAGCACACTTATGGGAGGAGCTTCTCCTACCTTCTTGATTTGTAACCGAATATAGCTTGCTGGCTGCACTGAGCGACACAAGCTGTCCCCGCTTATGCGAGGTATAGCTAGTGTGTTATGCACTTAAGTCACCTCTTTATTCTTAAAACAAAAGCGGTGTAAGGGGTAATATTTACGCCGGGAGGCACGTTTTAATTTACGACCGAAACCGAAGCTAACTTCTATTTTGGATGTAATTTCTCGATAATGGTGTCCTTTCGGTTTCTTCCCTACCCCAACATGTGCCTCACAGCGTAGCTACTACGCTAAAGAAATTGTTCGCGGAAACTTTATCTTGTGACATGCGTGTCAGATCCAGGCACTTAAAAAATATGTTTGGAGAGTTCAGTGCTCCCTAAAAGACAGGATCTTTCATACTCAGCAAAGGTTACAGAATATTGTATTTCTTGAAGAAATCAGCGCTGATACTTATGCGTTCTTGGAGCCTTTTCCTACTCGGTCAAAGGTCATATGAAATAATGACCTGCGGGCCCTTGAATCAGTTTTCAGGCATTTCGATGATTAATTGCTCTAGTATTAATCCCAGCACAAGAATAGTAAAATCAATCAAAATTTTACAAAACGTCGCCACGGGTGATTAGTTTAGAATATGTCAACACAACGTATAAATTAAGAACTACAAAATCGCCAAAACAAAATCTGAGTCAGACAAGAGAAATGTGTGTATTTTTTAAGGCAACGCGTGACGCATATGACTATATATTTCATCAAGCATTAATGTCAATCTTGATAAAGATATCAGAGTTCTTGATGTGCTAAAAAGAACTCAAAACGAAACCCTTCTGTAAAGACTATTATAGCTAAAAGGCATATTTTTGTGATTGCGGTAATTTAATGTGTGTGTGTGTGTGTGTGTGTGTGTGTTTGGGTGGGTGCATTACGGTAGTTTGTGTTGATAAATATACAATTAAATCATTTTATTGAATAGTATTTTCAAACTCCAATATATATTGTTGCTTACGATCTAAGTTCCAAACGCGCCAAAATCTGTAGCATTTCAAAGTTGGCAAATTATCATCACTGCTGTCAATTGCGGCCTTCTTAATTTACAAGTTATAAAATAAAAATAGTCTCGACATACTAGCTAGTTTGATAAATTAATGTAAAACGACCTTAATTCTGGGTAAGCGATAATGTGATATCAAATTCGCGACGTTTGGCAATCAGAAAAACTTCGACGCTTGCCGCCAATTTTTCCCAAACAAGTGCCCCAAGATACGAAAATATGGATTCCGTTGTTTTTGGTTTAGCTACAAAACTACCCAGAACAGTAATTTTCTTTAATTTTTACGCGCCGCCGTTTTGCTAATCTCAGCCTTTCCAGTTCGAAGAAGCGCCCACCCGCTTGCAAGTCATACCACTGCAGTACGTTTCGAATGGCGTTGGAAAACCCGTGAAACAGAAGCGAATTTTAGTTTTGTGTAGTCCAGCGAACGCAAGCACTTTGTGTTTGCGTGATCGTTGTGTGTCCCACGCAACGCTAAAGCGAAGACTTTTTAGAGCGCAGCTCTTAGGCGCCCGTTTCCGGCTAGAGCGGTGTCGGCATCGGCGTCGCCGTCGGCGTAACCTAGGTCACCCCAAGGTCACGTGACCCCCAGGTCATGTGACCCCCCAAGGTAACGCGACCCTCCGAGGTCACGTGACCACTCCCAAGGTCACGTGACCCCTCCCAAATTCACCTCAAGGTCGCGTGACCCCCAAGGTGTCCCCCACGTGACCCCCCCAGGTCACGTGGCCCCCCTCCCCGAGGTCACGTGACCCCCCTCCCCCCCCGAAGACACGTGACCCCCCCCCCCCCCGAGGTCACGTGACCCCCTCCCCCAAGTTCAGGTGACCCCCCCGGAGCATATTAAAGAATGAGGGTAGAAGGAGGAGGCCCACAGCAACGACGAGCATGTGCATTGTGGAGCACTGGACTCTAACGTAAACGCACAGCACATGCGTTTGCTTCTATACTGAATATTAAAACTCTATAGTAATGCACAGTCAGATGTCGGGTGCAGCACTCTATCGGGTCAGTGAAGAATGTTGTTTGCATTCACAAATGACTTTTTGTGAGCCATGATTGCGAGTAGTTCCGCCGTGACTGCTGCGCAGGCCAGCGGGGGGACAATCACTAGAGCGCTTCCCGTTTCCGCCGCGAGAGGGCGAACAACGAGCTGAAGGCGCGAATACGAGGTTGCGTCGAAACTGATGGGCAGGAAACAGGCACACCATTGGCAGATTGCATATAAAATCAAGTCTGACGAGCCCCTAGGCCATCGAAAAGCGGACGAGGCAAGAAGGAAAGTCGTGACGCTTAGGTGGATTCCACACAGAAATCAGACTGATGGACCTCAGCTGCTTCAACTTCCACGACTTCAGACGGAGTTTTGTCGACTCGCGATTTCTAAAGTGTTCTTTTTGGACAGCCGTTTACGCGTTCGATTTAATCATTTTGGTTCGTTATGACGTTCCTCACAGCTATATACTTCAGTAGGAAGAACAAGTAAAAAGTGTTATAGTGGATGATAAACGAATGATCTTTCTATTTTACTAATTTTATCTGTGATATCAAGAGCCACGGTTAAGGCGGCAAAATCGCTGAGTTTCTTGTTCTCCGGCATAAGTGAAACAAAAACCAAGCGGTTAACACACGTTCTCGTGGTGTATCGCAAAGAGTATAGGTTGACAAAAATGTGCAAGGATGGATTTGTGTACCCGTACAAAACAGCGTCTCAAGGCAACACCATGTCACCGCTGTCGCAGAAAAACCTTGAACGAGATGAATAAATTTCAGCGCTTTTGATAGCGCCGATAATGCCGTACGCACGCAATGACCCTTTAGTTTTACCTAGGGTAGCGAGACATTCCTGGTAGCAGGACGTGAGGCGATCACCCAAAGATTCAGAGATTAACATTTTGAAGAAACCCAAGACTGTGGAATACGAAAGTTCATGCCAAGGGAAGATGAGAACGTTTGAAATACAGCTGTGTGCTGTGTTTGAGACGGGAGATAGCTCAACGACTTTAGTTTCACCCAAGCAGACGTGGAACACCTTAAGCGAATTTGACCTTTTTTATATATCTAGGTCTACACGTACTTTTATTAAAGAATTTAATAAATTTGATTTACACACATGGCAGCACCATGCATAAGAAGCCATGGATTTGCCTCCAAAGGCATTCGCGTCTGTCTGAGAAATAATTAAGCTGCAGAGGTAGAATCAGCGTTCGTCATAGATCCCCCATGTGGCGATTAAATAGCAGCATTCTAGGCTAAAATTAAAGTGCGATAATTTAAAGAGACACGTCTAGAAAGGTTTTCTTACCAGCCTCCGTGAAGATAACTACGATGACGGCAACTACGCAAAAGACAGCAAGGGCTGTGTTCATCATCGGTTACTCAGTAATGTATAAATTCTCTAAAGATTTCTTCATTTATACCCAAACAAAATGGGCAGATGTCTGCCTCTTTTCTACGTAGCGTTATGTTTTGCGGAAACAAAATCAATACTGCGAAAAGCAAATGACCGCATTTCTAGAAAAACAAAAGATAACGGAATTTTTAAAAAAGACGGCATTTAATCTTAAAACAAAATAATCAACCACGCAACACCCCCCCCCCCCACACACACACTCACACACACACACACACACACACACACACACACACACACACACACACACACACACACAATCAAAGGTTCATCATTTTTTTAGACGTCTGGACCCCGGAGGCCATGTCATCTAGAGGGTCCATGACCTCTACCACTTTGTACACAATAGGAGTTCCTTGCCACTTAGAACTGTCGTGCATCCTGGGGCTTCGTGTATCACTTGTTTTTTTAGCCGATTGTTTTTAGAAACCAATACTGAACCGAGGCTGACGAAATATTTTGCTCGGCTTGGTAAACCTTTTCGTCTTTCCAGGGAAGCACTTTTGTTTTTTTAAGTAACTATTGTGATTGGTTGTGCGAACGCTTCTTGCTAGGATATTCCGCATCTGAGCGCGTTCACTAAGCGTTCTCCAGATTCATATGCACGAGGATGAAGGGCTCGGAGAGCTTCACGTTTGGACGATTCTTAAGACTCTCTGTGCCTTTCGTACTCCTCTGGGTCGTCAGACCAACCAAAGGTTGGTTCAAGGGCGTCGCTTCTTGGTGGAGGAGGCAGGTACCGGAGTTTAGCAAGGATGTCGGCCTGAAGCGACGATGCGGCCCATGCCATCTCGTCAAGATCCCTAAAACTACGCTCCCAGAGATGTGGGCGGGAGCGTGGGTAGCTCTGACGGATAGCCCGTGCTACTTTTTCTGCATCTGGGGCCACCGCGTGAGCAAGATCATACTAGGGTGCCTCAATGTCCTTCTGTTTAGGGTGATGCCACCATTCGTAGTACCACATGCCGACAGTTCGCGCTCACGGGAAAAATACAAAGAAATCGACGAAAACAAAATGTCGCCATAGCACAGTCAGCGCCACAAGCGCGTGCAGGGACACGCTCTTTCACGCGCTTCTGAACAAAAAATAAAAATTGACGTGTGTGACAAAATGGCGAGGTGCCACCACCCTAAGCAGAGCGCACATGAAGGCACCCTAGATCATACATTCCCTGGAAGGCCTTTGCCCATTTTATGAACGACTCCTGCGGGTGTTGTGCACAGGCATGGAGTTCGTCCTGCATCTGGATATTGTAATCTTGTGGCATAAATTCTGCTCTGAATCGCCAAAAAAAAAAAAAAAAATCCGCCATAGTCCGAGAAAGTTCTTTGTCTCTTTCTCCAGACCGGGAAAACGCGAGTAAGCACGGTTTCGTCCTCAGTTCCCGACACAGCTTTGTAGTCCCGCAGTTGCGAGACGAAAATTGCCACTGACCTCCTATCTGCATACCCTGAAAAAACAGGAACGCTAAGCGAGAGCCTTAGGTAGTCGCTGGGGGGAAGGGTACCAGCAGGAGTAGGGCTTGAGCACGTCATCTGCTCCCGTTGTAACTGAAGAAGCATAGTCATGGCCACTCTTAGTTCTGTTAGACCCCCTCTGATGATGCGCCTGCGTGGTTTTCTGTCGCTGGCGGCGTTATCGGCGAGTGCACCGAGTGTCAAGTCGTCGTCACTCCCGTTTTTGACGGCGTCTTCCGTAGACGTCATCCTGTGGTAGTCAAGGTTTCCTCAGGTCGAAGAAGTTAGGCTTGGGTGAATTCGGAAAAGGCGCACCCCAAATGCGGGCAAATTTAGGAACGCAAAAATTATTATGTAAAACAAAAAAACTTACCGAGTGCGTGACTATCCCCCCAGACGAGCAGCATTTTACGTCTGGGTGGAGTGTGGGAAATTATCTTGTTGCTACCCGTCTCAGAGAATGACACAACACACCGGTTCGTCAACACATAGACATTTAATGACCGTTATCGCCCGCACCGCAATCCCAAGAGCCCTTACGCATACGTTGCGACGGCCCTTCATCCGCGGCGGAGCGCCGCTCGCGTGGACAGTTGCCCTTCACCACCTCGCAGGGCAAATAACCACTCCGATTATGCAGAGGAGCAACCTGAGCTAACGCTTTCGATTCCCAGGTTTCCCAGAACCATTACTTGTATACTAGCTTCTACAACAGTTATATTTTTGGTGGAAGCTGCAATCAAACTCACAAATCAACGCCATTTTGCTTTAGAGGTAATTTTCCTGCCTAAAATTGTTCCTTTCTGCTTGACTTGATCAATGTTTATGGTGAAGGTTTCAGTCGTGTGATTCAATGAAATCGTCTTGAAGCACCCTTTACATCAACCAAAGTTCATTCTAAAAAAATAAAAAAGCAAAAAAAAAAAGAAAACCTTCGTAGCACAAGCTTATACTTCATTCTAATTTGTTGCCCTGCCTATACTAGGATAAAATTAACTACTGACCAATTGAATTTTAAAAAAATCCTCTCTCGCTTTTCCACTTCTCAGAAACCGCTCATTAGCTTCATTGCATGGCCGAAAGTTTAATTGCCCCAAACTGTCAACTAGTTGCTAAATCATGCTGCAAAGCATTAGGCACAGCAAGGAGAATCCTGTGAGGAACACCATTTTACATGCAACGGTTTGTTTACTTTGCTTTTTCATAGAGCGCATGGAAGAGCGTTTTCAGATACGAGCTCTTGATATTGACTGCGGTACGGCATTTATTTTCTAAGTTTTCCGGCTCATAATAATACAAGTGCTTGCAGTTTTAATCCGAGCGTGCCAGAATTTAATTCAGCTGTACTCTTATTTAATCGAAGTTGTCAACAATTGAGTTCAAGCGCAAATTAATTTAATCCAAGTTTTCACCAATTTAATCCAACTCCATCCATTTTAATCTAGGAGCCACTCAATATAATTCTTTTATGTTTGTGAATAAGCAAAAACTGCTCATCATCTCTTAAAACTGTTTTAGAGTTATGAGGTGCTTGCAAGTTATGAATAACATTTTAAATGTACATTCGCGTTTCATTGTTGCTTTATCACATTCCGTATCCATGCCTTCGCAGTATGCTTTCTCCGTGGCGCGGTTTCAACATCGGGCGTTGACTACTCTTTCAAATTGCCCGCAAAAGCCTAACGTTTTGCATCTCATTAAAAAACAAAAAAAAGAACAGAGACGACTAACGAAGGAGGTATGTTTGCGCCGTGGTGCCGTTCCAGACGTCAAAAGTCGACTAGACTATGTTTCGATGAAACGTCGTTTGACACGCTGATGGCCACCAGATTTTGATTTTATTTCAGTACGTTACAGGCTCGTGACGGGCATTATGTGAAAAGGAAATGTACAGAAATAATAAAAAAGTTCAACAACTTGAAATCAACACACAATATCACATATTCATACAAATTAATTAATTATAACACGACTCATTGCGTAAAAAACAAACACCCACCACCTTAATCTATAAAAATTAATGAATGGAACAAAGGTTAAGAAAGCTTCAAACAATATATATATATATATATATATATATACATATTGCGGAAACTTAAAAGGGCCATGATGGTAACAAAGTGGTCAGGAAAACCTTTCCAGTCCACAGTGGCTCAAGAAAAAAAAAAGAATGAGCTAGAAATGGAAACTGAAGTGCTAATAATAGTGGCAGTCTTACTAGCGTTATCGAGACGAGTAAAAACGAAGGGCCTCTATGGAGGGCCTCCATGTCACTTGACATCCAATACCCCGCGAGAACAACCGCCGTCATCGTCTTCAGAGCAGGCAGGACAGGTCTCGACGGGGGCCCTTGACAGAGAGTCGGCGTCACTGTGCTTTATGCCTGGCTTGTACACCACGGTCAACCCAAACGTCTGTAGTCGTGCACTCCACCGGGAGAGACGTCCTGTGGGGTCCTTCAGTTTCGCGAGCCAGCAGAGCGAGTGGTTGGCAGCAGCCACTCGGAACTGGCTTCTGCAAAAGTGCGGGCAAAACTTGGTGATGGCCCAGACGACGGTGAGATATTCTTTCTCCGTCGAAGAGTAGCTACCCTCTGCCTTGCACAGTGTACGGGTTGCATGGATGATTACTCGCTCTGTTTCCTTCTGTATTTGGACCAGCACAGCACAGTAAATTTCTGTCTGCATGCTGATCGAAATAGCCAAGGATGGGAGGTCTTTCAAGTTTTTGTTTAAGCTCGTCGAACATCCACTGGTGCTCTTCTTTTCACTGAAACTTGACGGCGTCTATTGTAAGATATGTTGCCAGCGGCGCAGAAAGCTTCGCAAAATTTCGAACGAAGTTCCTGTAGTAGGCAGAGAGACCCATAGGGTCCTTCCTACGGCGTTTTTGTCCGACGGGAGGGGGGGGGGGGGGGGAATGCGTCTACGGCGCTCGACTTCTCAGAGTCAGGGCGAACACCCTAGCTGCTCATGACGTAGCCTAGGAACTTGAGCTCACCATAAGCGAACCGCCATTTCGTGGGCTTTAGAGTTAGTCCAGCGGACTCGATGGCTTATACTACGGCACGGAGTCGTCGTAAGTGCTTGTGAAAGTTGCTGGCGAACACCACAACGTCGCCGAGATATACGAGACAGCTTTGCAATTTAGGCCTGCTAGCACGGTGTCCATGACACGCTGGAAGGTCTCCGGCGTTGTGCATAGTCCTAAGGGCATGACTTTAAAATTGTACAGCTAGTCGGGCGTGACAAAGGCAGTTTGCTCTCAGTTCCGTTCGTCAACCTCGATATGCCAGTAGTCACTTTTCAAGTCCAACGACGAAAAATATTGGAAGTGGCGCAAACGGTTTATGTTATCGCCGATGCGGGAAAGCGGATAGACGTCTTTCTAGGTAACAGCATGAAGTCGACGACAGTCCACATAGAATCGCAAGGTTCCGTCCTTCTTCTTTACGAGCACCCCAAGTGAAGCCCATGGAGTTATTGAAGGTTAAATGAT